TAATTCTAGCTTTCTCTATAATTAATTAGCTTACCTATAATTTAGTTAATTTTAATATTATTATCTTTATCTTTATTATCTATCTTACTTTTTAGCTGCTTTATTATAAGTCTTTAAATTCTTTATTCTATTTTAATTATAATTACTTAATATTATTTTATCTTTAACTTAATCCCTATTTTAGCCTATATTATATAGCTAAGCTGCCTGTTAAGTCAGTTAGTTTTCTATATTAATAAATAGCTATCTCTCTATATATATTTAAGCTACTCTTTATATAGCTTAATAAGTTAATATTTCTATTATAGTACCCTCTTTATTAAAAGTAGCTATATAATATATACTATAATTATCTACTTAATTTAATTAGAGATAAATTATATTACTTTTTAATTATTATTATAGATTATCTTTATTTTATTTTAGTTAGTTATAATTATAACTTACTTATTTAATATAAATATATTTTAAATTAGCTACTATAAATTATAGTGCTATAATATTATAATTTCTAGCCTTCTTTCTAAAAGCCTACCTTATATATATATAAGTATAAGCAGTATCTCTTATAGTAGCTTTAAGTCCTAAAGCTACCTCTTTATATATTATTACTTAAATTAGACCCTTATAGTATTTTATATTAATAATTCTATTAGCTATATTACCTTTTTTAGTTTAGCCTTTAGTTACTTATTTTTTAAGTTACTTATAAATATTAACCTGCCTTAAGTTATATTATATTATTAATAATTTAACTTATATTAATCTTTTTACTAACTGGCTACTATAATCCTCTAAATAGCTTATTTAGTAGCTTTTCTGCCTTAATAACCTTATTATATAGTATATAGGTAAAATCCTTAATGCTAATATATTTACCTATATAAAATAAGCCTTTTTTATCCTTAGACTATTATATTAATAGCTATCTCTCTATCTTTTATTAATACCTTTTTCTATATACTATCTATTTAATAATTATATTTATAATAGTATAGATACCTATATATATCTATAATATATACTGCTCTTTAAATATAAGTATAGCCTTAACCCTAACCTTATTTTAATTTAGTAGCTAATTCTTAAATATAGCCTTTAAAAAGAATAACTAGGCCTACTATACTATAGTGGCTAGTAAATTAGTATATAAGTGCAGCTTTATATAGCCTATTAGGTATATCTTAATATTAAGTACTATATAAAAATATAGTAATAAGTTTATATATATATTTCTGCTAATATAAGTTTTAATTAAAGCTATAATAAACTAAAAAATAGTTTAGTTTAATATATCTTATAGCAGGTTAGTTATACCTTTATCTTTTTACTTATTATTATTACTATTATTATTATTTTTATATTTATTTTTATCTCTATCTTTATCTTTATTTTTATTTTTATTTTTAGCTTATCTCTTTTTACTGCTAAAAAACCTACTATTATAATTACTTAAAACCCTATTGCTTTTAAGCTCTTTAGTAATATTATATAATAAGCTTTATTATTTATCTATAAAGTAAATAGCCTAATAGTTATATACTTCTTTCTGCTTAATGCAATATATCTTTTAGTAAAAACTTAAGTAATAATAATTAATAGATTTATATTAGCTTATTAATTATTCTTTATTTTTATAGCTAAATAGTATACTGCTTAAGGTTATTAATAAAATGCTATTAAGCTACTATAATATTTTAGTTAATATATTATTAAGTTACTAGTAGTAATATTAAACTTTATAATTAAAGCTCTTTTTAAGCCAGTTAAGTAATAGTTATTTATAAACTGCTTTTTTATTTTCTTACCTTTTTGCTAACCTGCCTATTACTGCCTTTACCTATAGCTATTAAGCTATATTATAAATATTAATTAAATCTTAAGAGCTAAAGTATTATATCTAGCCTAGCCTTTTAACCTATAGTAAGTTATAATTAATCTCTTTCTTTAAGTTACCTTTCTATAGTTATATAGTATCTTTCTCTTTTAATTAAGCCTAACTTACAGTAATAAGTATATCTATAGTACTTTAACTTTTAGTATTAATTATATTAGCTATATTAATTAGGCCATTAATATTACTATTATTTTAAATAATTTAGTAATATATATACCTTCTTTTTATTTATATTTATAGCTGTATTTTAATCTATAGTTTCTTTATTATATAATGCCTCCTCTTTTACTAATAATAAATAATATTATTATATATAGTAGTAAGATATTAATATATATTATAGCTATATTTATATAATATAGTAAGCTATTTAATTACTTAATTATTATTTTTAGGCATTATAGTAAGCTTTAGGTTAGCTAGTTTAAATATATTATAGTAATTTATAATATCTTTAAGTATTTAGCCTTTAAGTTAATACTACTATTAAAAATATAACTTAATACTGCTATTAGGTTAAATAGCTACTTAATATAGCTAATATATAAGTATTTAATAGTTTTAATTAAGCTATATAATATCCTCTATTATTACTTAATATTACCTTTTTTATTTTAAAGATAGAAAATAAAAAAAAAAGAAGTCTTTTTATTATCTTCTATTAATTAAAGTCCCCTTTCTTTTATACTATATTAACCTTAAGTTAATACTAGCTAACCTTAAGTGTAAAGTTAGGGTTATTTTTCCCTAATTAGCTGCTTAGCTTAAGCCTAACTAATTTAAGTCTAAAACTTAAATAAAATAACCTAATTTATTAGTTAATTACTGTTTAATCGCCTCTTAATAGTTCTTAGGGTTTTGTACAGGAAACAGACATACCGGGGTATCTTGAAGGTTCCAGTGAGAAGATCCTTCTTGAAACTTATGCTCGCTTTGTGTCGGGCTTGACTGGTGCAGATGAAGTTGCTTTCATCCTTGCTCGAGATACAAGTCCCGACATATTGTCCGTCGCTATGGTAGTTGTCTCTGCTGTGGTTCATCGGAGTGCCCAGCAAGAGGATAAATCTGTCTCGGTAAAGTGGGACGAGTTGGATATGTCTTTTTCTCATGAAAACGAGATCCAATTCGCTCTAGACTTACGAATGTCCAGCTTCGGTGACAATTATATTCTAGAAAGGCATGATGTAAGAGTCACTGAATCTATTGTTCATTGAAGCTTGGGCTGACTTTAGGGCAGTTGTTTCTCTTGTCTATTGGGCCAAGTGCAGTAGTAAACAAAGCTATAGCTAGCATCTCCTACCCTTCCCAGCACATCACTGAGCCTGCGGCTGCGCAATTGCTAAAGATCTTCATTTCGCAAATTTTTCCTGGTGTTGAATCTCTTTACGACTCTTGCCCTCAGTTTTCTCTTGTTAATCACCCCCCTCTGTTTTATCCACCTGTTCAATTCAGTAGTGATTGGGATGTCACCACATCGGCCACCCATCTCCATGCTGGCTTTGAGCATTGGGCTTCAATCAGTCCTGACTCCCCTGCTTTGGACTTCTTCCATCTATATCGAGCCAAGAGAGGCCTGCACTGCATCAAGTCTTGAGCTACGGGATGATCAATAATGCGGCTAATCGTGTTGCCTCCCTCTTGCTTGAACTTGTATCTCAAGATGCAGTTGCAGCGGGTCGATGCATCGTCCCAGTTCACATGTCAACATCTCCTGAGCTGTACATCTCCTACCTCGCCATTCTCAAAGCTGGCCTCGCATTCTCCCCACTGCCCACGGACGCTCCTCTCGAACGAATTCGCGAGCTCCTGGAGGACATTGCGCCTCCTATCGTGCTCGGTATCGGTGGGAAACCGGATGTATGGGCCAGCCAGGGTATCCAGACTCCCTGGATTGATGTCACTGAGGTATCTCGATGGAACCTCTTGTCAAACCAAGGCACGTCAAGTGAAGATACAGGATGCACCTTTCAGCCACGCCCTATTGCCAATAATGCGTTGGCTTATTTGCTCTTCACTAGCGGGTCTACTGGAAAGCCCAAGGGTGTCCAAGTGTCTCATTCATCAGCCACTTGCTCGATAGCATCCCACTCAACAGCTATTTCTCTTCCGGATAGGAACGATGGCGGTTTCCGCTGGTTTCAGTTTGCAGCGCCAACCTTTGACCCTTCCATCATGGAAATCTTCGTCACCTTGAGCAACGGAGGGACCCTATGCGCCGCGCCAAGAGCTTTGACCTTGACAGACCTTGAAGGTTCAATCAATGAAGCGCAGGCAACTATCATGATGGCTACTCCCAGCTTAGCTGCATTGCTAACGACCATCCCACCTCCAGACTCTCAAGTCTCTGTGGTGCATGGGTGAAAAGCTCAATCGAACAGTGATTGATAACTTTGGCACGCGATCACCAGATAACCCATACACCCTAGCCAATTTCTACGGACCAACTGAGGCTGCCATCAACTGCACGGTTCTGTCGCCTGTCAAGTACTCAGTCCGAGGATCAATCATTGGCGAAGCCCTCCCAACATGTTCTATGTTTATACTGGATCATGAGAGCCAAGTACCGAAGCTAGTCCCGGCTGGATTTGTTGGAGAGCTTGCCATTGGTGGCCAGCAAGTCAGCGAAGGGTACATGCACCGACCCGAAGAGACGGCCAGAGCCTATGTATCAAGTGAGGAATATGGTCGACTGTATCGGACTGGTGATATGGCCCGCATTGTTTGGGATAAGTCTGGCCGACAGCTTATAGAGTTCCTTGGGCGGATCAGCTTGGATCAAGTCAAACTGAGCGGACGTCGTGTAGAACTAGGCGAGATCGAGTCGGTTCTCTCCACTGTCTCTGGGGTGACTGAGCTAGTCGCTACAATTGCCAAAGCAGGTGGTAGTCGAGAGGGAATTGAGCATATTGTTGCTTGCATTGTGGCGAATGTGCAGTCATCAGATCAAAGGCAGAAGCTTGTTGACAGTTGCTGTCAAAAAAGCGACAGCTTCTTGCCTTCCTACATGCGACCCTCGAGATACACCTTCCTCGACAGTCTGCCGCGATCAAGCTCTGGCAAAGTTGATCGTAAGAAAGTCCACTCCGAGATACTGGCATCAGATGTATCTCAATCTTTCAGTGCTTCTAGTGAGAATCAGTGTCTACTCACCACGGAGGACGAGCTTGAGTCGAACTGTGAAGCTTTGCAGAGCTCGACTCTGACTCTCCTCATGACAGCGATTGGCGAGACCGTCGGTGAAACAAGCTCTGCCATCAGCCCAGAGATGTCGCTTGCATCGGCTGGACTGGACAGTCTCGGAGCAGTGCGTCTCCTTCAGAAATTGAGAGATCATTCGATCACGGGGCTGGAGGTCGGAGATGTCCTCCAATCTGGCACTATAAAAGCTTTGATAGCCAAAGTAGCGCTCACCACTCGACCCCAAGTCTCAATCTCAAAGGGCGCCGAGGATGAAGTGGAACTTCGGAGGGTTCTTGGTGCTTTCGCCGAGAGAAACTTGCCGGTCTGCGCCGAGCAACTTGGGGTCCATGAGGATCGAATTCAGACTGTGTTGCCAACTACAGCGACTCAATCTGGAATGCTTGCCAGCTTTCTGCGAAGCTCAAACAAGCCAGTTGGTTCAACTCCAGCTTATGTCTATCATTCAGTCATGCCAGTCCGTAACGGCATAGATATTGAAAGATTTAAACGAGTCTGGGACATTGTGATCAGTAGCTATGACTCTTTCAGGACGGTCTTCTGCCCCATGGATGATGACATGTCTCCTTTCGCTCAGTGCATCCTCAAGACAAGGGATGACTTCGCCGAACCTACTTGGAGCACATATAGCCATGGCCTGGAACATGACGATTATAATAGCACGGTTGAGCTGGCCTGTCGAAACGCCGAAGCCAAAATTGATATTGGCTCGAACCCCTCGCACATTTCTCTCATCTCCTCCGAGACCCAGTCCACTGTTTTACTGAGCATGTTCCATGGTATATTTGATGGTGGCTCTCTGCAAATTCTCCTGCAAGATGTGACAGAAGCTTATGGAGGACGGCCTTTGCCGAAGCGTACGCCCTTGGAGCACATTGTCTATCATCACTTCTCAGTCGACCCTAAGGCGACTGCGCTGTTCTGGAATAAACATCTAGAAGGCCATTCGCCAGTCGCGTTCCCATCACTCACTCCACTTCGCCCACTCTCAAGCATCAAGACGCATATGATCGAGGTCAGCTCCCTTATCGGGCACAGGGAGCTGAAAACGGCATGCAAGAGCATGGGCGTGACGCCTCTCTCCGTACTTCAAGCAGCGTGGGCTTCGATATTACTGGCGTATTCTGGAACTTCGGAACAAGATGTTGTGATTGGAAGTGTAGTCTCTGGGAGACTGGATCCTCGAACTGAGAACTGCATCGGCCCTACATTCACCACTATACCTATCCGCCTCACACAGGAGGACCATTACCACGGTAGAGCCGAGTGGACCAACCGTTCCGTCGCAGAGTCTCTCGTATCATCAAACGCCGCAGCACTGTCACATCTTCAGCCTCGCCTTGGCTCAGTAGTCACAGCTGACGGCCGACTTCCCTACGACACACTATTATCTTACCAGGACTTCAATGTCGGGTCTGAATCTGAGGGTATATGGACTTCAATTCATCATCCTCCTATGGCAAACGACTTCAAAGTCATGTTGGAAGTCTGGCCAGGACATGACTCGCGGCTATTACTCAGGGCTACTTTCAACGATGAGTGTATGGATTGTGAGGCTGCTGAGCTGATGCTCCGTGAGATGAGTTGGACCATATCTAACATCCTCAAAAATCCGGATGAGAGCTTCTCGGGAAACTCTTTTATTGGTGATGCGTCACTACGATCCTGCATTTATCCAGCTCAGCCTCAAGAGTTTGCTCCAAACACACTCATTCATTCTCAGTTCGAAGCCCACGCAGTATCGAATCCTGACGACCACGCTTTAATTTTCAGAAGCAATCTACTCGACGAGGATAGTCCAGCCAACATCTGCTGGACTTATGCAGACCTCAATGCCAAGGCTCAATCCCTTGCGGACCACATGGTATCCATCCTGGGACCATTGACAGGAACCGTTGTTCCTGTCCATATCGAGAAGAGCCCGGCACTATACGTGGCCATCCTGGGTACTCTGAAGGCTGGTGCTGCTTGGTGTCCTATCGATGTCTTTTCTCCGGCCCAGCGTCGCCAAGAACTCATCGTTCGAACCGAAGGGCAACTAGTTTTAGTTTCATCTGCCGATTCTATTGGGATGGAGGGAGCTTTGCCAGATGGCGTTATACCCATCGATGTGTTGCCTTTCACGCGAAATTCTAAGTATGATGTGAACTTCCAAGCCAACGAGCCACGCATCACCGATCCAACGAAGATGGCATATATGATCTGGACCAGTGGTACCACTGGTGCTCCCAAGGGCGTACCTATCAACCATTCTTCTGCTTATACTGCTATCAATGCTCTGATTGAAGCCATTCCCGGAACGCGAGATGGGCAGCCCGTTCGGTGCCTCCAGTTTTCACAGCCCACATTCGACGTGTTCATTCAGGACCTGTTTTTCACATGGAGCTCTGGCGGCGTGTTGATCTCTGCGCCACGAGAGGTGATGCTTGGTTCGTTTGCGGAGCTCGCCAACGTGACCGGTGCGACTCATGCTCATCTTACCCCCACATTCTCGGCTGGACTTCAGAGGGCTGATTTCAAGACTCTACAGACAATCACCATGATTGGCGAGAAGCTTCCGCAGCCCGTTGCTGACGACTGGGGACAGAACATGAGAGCTTTCAACACGTATGGTCCGGCTGAGGCAACAATTGTTTCTACGCTTCGCGAGTTTGGAAACGAGCACAAGAGTGTCAAGAGCGGAAACATTGGCTGGCCCTTGAAGTCGGTCTCTGTATTCGTAACTCGCGAGAGGAAACTCGTTATGAAGCATGCCGTTGGAGAGCTTGCGTTAGGTGGCCCCCAGCTGTCTCCTGGCTATTTGAAACAGTCCGAAACAAACAAGCAGAAGTATGTGTGGAACGGGGAAGTAAATGAGGTCCTCTATTATACCGGAGACCTTGTTCGAATGCTTTCAGATGGTTCGCTGGAATATATCAGCCGAACAGATGATCTTGTCAAGCTTGGCGGTATTCGCGTTGAACTTAGTGAGATCAGTTTCTCTCTGCGCCATTGTCACCCTTTAGCCGAAGGTATCGAAACCATGGTTCTCAATCGTCCTGACCGACCAAATGACGCTGTTGTGGCTTTCATCGCTGCACCACAAGCTGTCAAATTGGGTCAAGAAGTACCGACCATTCTCTTGAACGACACTGCGATTAGCATTGCTCGCGCCGCAATCAGGGAAGCATCTATGTCTTTGCCCGATCACATGAAACCATCAACCTTCGTTGTTGTTCCGAGCATCCCCAAAACGCAGTCAGCCAAGGCAGATCGACGCGCGCTTCAGGCTCTGTATACGGACTTGGATGTTGATGGCTGGGAGAAAGCTTGCAATGTCCCAAATGAGGATCTCAAAGGGCCAGCCGTTGAGATTGATTGCGAGGTAAAGGATAGTGTCATACAGAATATTTCGCTTTTGTCCCACATCGAGCCAACCTCTTTTACCGAGTCAAGCAGGCTCCGTAGTTTGGGCATCGACTCCATTAGAGCTATTCGTCTCGCGTCACGATTGAACGAAGCTGGCTATCGTCTCCCCGTCGTTGATGTCCTCCAGTGCGAAACTGTCAGAGATCTTGCCCTTTTGGCCAGTTCGGGATCCAAAGCTTCGCAGGCAAAGAACTTGGTTGATCTCGAGGAATTTAATCAGAAATGGCACCGACAGTTGTCAGCCTTGATTCCGGGGGGGTTCTTTGTTTGCCCCGCAAAGACCATTCAGGAAGGTTTTCTCAGTGAAACATTGACCACTTCAGCAATGTATTGGAGCCATCACTCTTTCGCTCTTCACTCAGATGTCGACATTGGCAAACTCAAGCAGGCGTGGCAGACTGTCTGTCGGAGTAACGAGGCTCTTAGAGCCTGTTTCCTTCCAGTTGCCGCCCTTCAAAAGCAGGCATATGGCCACGAAAACGATTCAGATATCCTTCAGATCATTCATGATCAGCATGTAGTTGACTGGGAGTATATTGAAAGCACAAACAAGAGCTTGGGACAAGACTTGAACCAAAGAATTGTCGCACTCCAGGACCGACATCAATCAAGTTACTTCCAGCATCCGCCGTGGGCCGTCACGATCATGGACAATCATGTGGAGAGGACTATGGTCTTTTCAATTCATCACGTCCTGTATGACGGCCAGGCCCTTGGATACATCATGAATGATGTCTACTGTGCATACGGCGCTGGTGCACCCATCAGACCTCAACTTGGAGATGCCCTCTCTCTTGTACTGCCCAGCAAGAGAGCATCTCTCGATGCACAAAGGTTTTGGGAACAGGAACTTTGTGATTATGCCGAGCTCGATGTACCTTCATGGCCGAATCTTACTGGAGAGAGGACAATACCCGAGCAGGAAAAGGACCGCAGATTTATTACGGAGACTGTTCGACTTTCTGTCCGCCCCACGCAACTCGAGACCAGGGCTGCTGAACTCGATGTCTCATCGGTCGCATCTGTTGTTCGAGTAGCCTTTGGACATGTGCTATTGAGTTACCTGGGCAGCCCCGGCGTCGTATTCGCAGAGACACTATCCGATCGTGTACTGGACGCAGATATCGATCGTACCATCGGACCTTTCATCTCAGTTGTGCCTGTACCCTTCAACTCAAATGGCACAGTGAGAGAGGTTCTAGCAGAACAGCATCGTTTGTCTACGCAGGCCAGAAAGCATCGTCATATCCACGCCCAAACCATCCGCAAGCTCTTGAAGAAAGAAAGAGGCGAGTCACTGTATCCCGGCGTTTTTACCTTTCACGCCAGCAGTGAAGTAGAGCTCATGACAGCTTCTTCTGGAACTCTCTGGAACACCAAGTCCAATGACTTTGGGCTGATTGTTGAGCACCCCATGGCTCTAAACGTGTTCCGGGAGCCTGATGGCACCGTTGTCCTTGAAGCATCGTCTCTAAACACCATTATGAGTTCCACACAATTGGCTATCTTTATCCGCCAAATCGATGCCCTTGTTGGTGCGATGCTCGGCAACCCGGACGTGCCTCTCAGATCCCTTCCAAGTTCCATTGAAAAGGATTTGTTATCAATCTCTGCCCCCAGCCCAAGCGATGCCGTAAGGGAATCAACAAACTCAAGCCCAGTTCGCTGGATTGAGTCCACCGCTGAACAACATCCCGAGTGGACGGCAGTCGAAGAGACGCTGTCAATTACGGAAGCCGGAGTTGAACAGTTTTATATGAGCTACGGCGAGCTCAATGCTTCTGCAAACCGGGTTGCAGCTTATCTTAGCCACATCGGGATCAAAAACCGGGCGGTTGCTCTGTGCTCTCGCCGAAACCTTACCTCCTACCCTGTACTGGTCGGAATTATCAAATCTGGCAACGCTTATCTTCCTATTGATGAAGGACTTCCGGATGATCGCAAAGCATTTCTGATCAAAGATGGTGATGCACCCGTCGTATTTACTGAGACAGCTTTTTTTTCGACTTTTGAAGGCGTACCGAGTCAATGCAGAATTGTGTGCATTGACGAGCCGTCATTCCAGCAAGATCTTTTGGCTTTTTCGTCCGAGAACCAGACTTATCTTGCCAATCCTCACGATACTGCATACATTCTGTACACTTCAGGATCGACCGGCAAACCCAAGGGTGTCATGATTACTCGTGCCAATCTGTCTTCCTTTATCGAGTCTCTGTCTGAGTTCGTCTGCCGTATCGCACCAGCCACCCGCGAGCTTGGTGGCAAGGGACGCTGGTTGGGCCAAGCCAGTCGAGCATTTGACCCCCATATCGCTGAGATGTATTTTCCATGGCGACACGGCATGGCGACATCTACTGGCGCACGGTCCCTATTGATGGATGATCTCAGATTGACGCTTGCTAAGTTGGAGATCTCACATGCCGGTTTCGTTCCATCGTTGCTCGATCAGGCCGATATCCGTCCCCAAGATTGCCCAAGTCTTGTACTCTTGAGTGTTGGAGGAGAAAAGATATCCCAAAGGGTCCTGGATACTTGGGGCTGTGCAAGTCAAGTGGCAATCATGAATGCTTATGGACCTACTGAGCTGACGGTTGGATGTTCATTTGCACCGGTCCATACACATAGCACCCTGCGCAACATTGGACTCCCTTTGACTTCATGTGCTTGCCATGTTCTCCTTCCCGACACCCTTGACTATGCGCTCCGTGGGCAGACAGGAGAGCTCTGCTTCACTGGTGATCTTGTCGGGAAAGGATATTTGAACAGACCTGATGCCAAAGGGTTTGTGATAGGGCCTGACCAGGAGAAGATGTACCGTACTGGTGATGTCGGAAGAATAATGGCAGACGGTAGCATCGAGTATCTTGGGCGCGGCGATGATCAAACCAAGATTCGGGGCCAACGGCTTGAGTTGGGCGAAGTTTCCGAGGTTATCAGAACCTCTTCTAGGGCATCGATTGACGTTGTCACTATTATTGCCAAACACCCTGGCCTTGCGCGACAGCAGCTTGTCTCATTCATCGCGCGCCTGGAACATCAGCGATGTACTGCAAAGGATGATCTCTCCATTATCCCGGCTGATATCAGCACCTTTTGCAAGGATCTCCGAGACATATGCCGCCAGAAGCTGCCCAGTTACATGGTACCAGATATTGTACTTCCTGTCAACCGCATACCATTCGCTGCCATGTCAGATAAGGTGAACAGCAAGTTACTGCAAGAGCTATTTGCAAGTATCCCCCTATCTGACATTCTGCGTGGAAATGAGACAACGCACAGTGATGTGAAAGAGGTCAGAGAATTGACAAGGGAAGAAGAGGTTATCGCTGACGCTATCTGCCACACACTTGCGATTGACCGGTCTATGATCCATCCACACACCAACATCTTCGAGATTGGCATCGACAGTCTAAGTGCAATCAATCTCTCTATCCACCTTCGACATACCGGCTTGCCCGCTTCCGTGGCACTTGTCATGAGCAATCCTGTCGTAGAACAGCTCGCCCACCTGTCATGCAAGTCAAACCCATCATCGGAGGCAGTTTCTTCATCAGAAATCCAACAGAGCAGACTCTCGAAGCTAGAGGAGCTCTTTGACGCTCGATTATTTAAGATAGATGGGCTATCTGTAGCGTCTGTGAGACCTTGTTTGCCGCTTCAAGAGGGTCTTGTGGCTCGCTCTATAAACAACAATTCAGGTCTCTACGTCAACCATATCGCGCTGAAGATGAACTCGGCTACTGATGCAACCCGTCTCAAAAACGCATGGCAGGACACCGTCAAGGAAACTGAAATTTTGAGAACGGTTTTCGTTCCACTGCAGTCGGAGATTGCACAGGCCGTACTTGATCCAGACTGTCGCTGTGATTGGACAGAGGCACAATACGATGACCTAGAGATGGCCATGACAGACTTCCAGAGTCGCCAGGACGCGATTGGTCGTAACATTACCAGCAACATAATGTCGATCCCTCCTGTCCGCATCTTGCACGCAGTTACCACCGTTTCCAGACTGCCACTCGCCTTGTTTATCTCGATACATCACAGCCTCTACGATGGCGCATCACTTGGTATGTTACTGCAAGACTTTGCTGCGCGATATTTACCAGAAATGGCCCCACCTCAGCGAGGATCACCCGAGACTTTCATTAAGGAAGTTTGTTCCCAGAACATTGACAAATCGGAGTCGTTCTGGTGTCAGAAACTTGCTGGTTGTAAGCCAACGATTTTCACGAAACCAGTGTCTGGCCTTGACCCGCATATTCACTCTAGAAAGCTATCGCCATCCCTCCCAGATCTCGAGAGCTGTGCAGCTCGCATGAAATCTACACTATCTTCACTGGTGCAGGCGGTTTTTGCTTTGACCTTGGCCGATGCGGTAAGCACATCTGATGTGACCTACGGCGTTGTACTTTCTGGAAGGGCGGTCCCAGTTGCAGGAGCAGATACTGTGCTTCTGCCATGTATTGCTACTGTTCCTGCCCGACTCAATCTAGAATGCCTCTCTTCGATGGAAGACGTCATCCAGCATGTGCAAAAGGGTACTGCCCAGGCCCTAGATCATCAACATACATCTCTGCGACATATTCAGCGGTGGATCAAAGCAGAGGGTGCTATCTTTGACTGCCTTTTCTCTTTTACCAAGTCTGCCGAGGTTCAGAGTCATGACCTATGGGAGGAGATGGAAAGCAACATGCCTTCGGAGTATCCTCTTGCTCTAGAGGTTGAAGCGGATGAAAAGAATAAGTGTGCTTTTCTGACCTGTGGTGTTACATCAGCCTTTGGTCAGACCGATGATGCCCAGGACCTCATGGCAAAGATGGACTTGATTCTCTCCGCCATGGTATCGAATCCATCCATCTCTCTTGATTCTCTCAATCTTTCCTGGTCAAGTGCTACCCCCACAACGGATACCAAGAAAGACTGGGAGGATCGTCCATGGTCGAACCTGGAAGTGGAGATTTGTGAACTTGTCAAACGTTTCTGTGGTATTGACGGAGAACAAATATCCAGAAACGCATCATTCTTCAGTCTTGGGCTGGATTCCGTCACCGCGATACGATTCTCCAGCCAACTACGTGATGCGGGAGTATCTGTGTCGTCGGCTGAAGTAATGCGTTTTTCTTGCATTGGAGCATTGGCTCACAGCGTGGTTGAGAAAGCCGCATCCGAGGTTCCCAGCCCGCCACTGTCCAATTTTGATGACGATACCCAGCTGGACGGATTTATATCCGAAGTGGAACGGCTCAGTCCAAACGACAGGATCGAGTCAGTCTTCAAGTGCAGCCCACTGCAGACTGCTATGATTACCGAAACCATTGAATCAAACGGGATTGTTTATGTTCATCCACACATCGTAAGACTCTCGGATTCTACCAGTGTTGATCGGCTGAAGGAAGCGTATCGCCTTGTGGTCATGGCTAACGACATTCTGCGCACTTCATTTCATCCTGTTCCGGAAATGGAGATGGACTTCTCCTGGTTCGGCGCCGTTCACAGCGACTCCCCAGCTACTTGGCAGGAAACAACTGTTCCAAGGGGCACCAACATCGCTCAGGCAGCCATGCAACTGGTGAGATTGGATACACAATCGGCCTTTTCCACGCCACCGATTCAACCTGTGATTGTCAGTGAGAGTGGACAAAGGCTTCTGGTCATTATCATGCATCACACACTTTATGATGGTGTTTCGCTGCCATTTATTTTCGATGATCTAGCGTTGGCCTACCAGGGTGCCTTACTACCGATTCGTCCACCATTTGCGACCATAGTCCGTTCCCTGTCACAAGATCAAACTGAGGCTTGCCAATTCTGGGCCGATACTTTTGAAGGATTTGAAGCCACACCACTACCGCGATCACCTCATCGTCAACCATCCTCAGGAATGTTTTATTCTGAAGCCAAGATTGACCTTGACATGACGGACATCCTGGAAAACTGCAAAGAGATGGAAGTCACGGTGCAAAGTGTTGCCATTCTCGCCTATGCCAAGGTCCTCGCAAAGTTGTCAGGGAAACGAGACGTGGCATTTGGTCAAGTCCTCGCCGGGCGCTCATCGTTGGGACTTAACGCTGAACAGGTAGTTGGACCCCTCTTCAACAGTGGCCAAGAGGGTGACGCTTGATCCCACATTCATCAGCAATCGCAACAAAGTTCAGATGATACAAAAGCTCACTACCGAGGCGCAGAATCATGACCATGCTCCCTTGCATGACGTGCAGAAGTCTCTAAGGCCCAAGGGTATACTACGTGAGGCCACATTAGTCGACACTTTGTTTGTGTTCCAGAATAGTGTGCGGACATTACGCGATGACCTGGCGGATAGCAAGATTTGGATGCCTTACATCACGGATGACTACGTTCCCAAGTCCGAGTACAAGATGAATACCGAAGTCGAACAAACAGACAAAGCAATCACAGTTCGCGCCTCATGCCAGGGAGTGATCATGTCTCAACAGGATCTCGACCAGGCTCTGAGGGACTTCAATCAAGCATTCTACGATATTGTCAAGCATCCGTTGCGATGTGTTACAATATTCCCTGACGAGCTTCAGAGCCTCCCCCTGAGCTTTGGATCTTCCGCTGACAGCGCGGTCTTAGCGGCTGGCTCACCGGCTCCGTCTCATGAGAATATCATCCGAGACATATTGTCCCAGGTTTCCAGAGTACCGGGGGAATCTATCCAGCCAGATACAAGCATCTTCAGTATTGGATTGGATTCCCTTTCTGCAATCCATGTTGCGTCTTTGTGCCGCGCTGCCGGTTTCAAAGCTGGCGTTTCTGATGTTCTTCAAGGAAACACCCTTCGTGGTATTTCCCTACAAGTTCAAGCTCTCCCACAGGAGAAGAATGATAGAAAGTCGCTCATGAAGGACTACGGCAATGTCAAAGAAGACATTGTTGATCGGTTGGGTCTGAGGCCAAATGCAATCGAAAAGATCCTTCCTTGCCTTAGTGGCCAAATGTATCATCTGGCTTCATGGTTACAGACAGGTCGGGCACTATTCGAGCCCGTATGGCCACTTTCATGCTCAGAACGCATAGACGTGGAAATTATGAAAGATGCCTGGTTCTTACTACGTCAAAATAATCCTATCTTGAGGACTTGCTTTTACTCTATCTCGCCTTCTGAGGTCGTACAGGTTGTCTTGGCCGGATGCGACCGCGACGACGGAACGTTTCAGGTTGCAACGTCTACGGGAACTCTGGAGGATCTTGCCATATCCCAGGCACGAGAGGCTGCGTTGAAACCGTCATCTCTAGAGACACCTCCTGTGCGGCTTATCCTTCTCAAGGCTGGCGACAGAGATGGTATTCATATACTAATGAATCATGCGATATATGACGCATGGACGATGCCGCTCTTTATTGATGAACTGACAGGCCATTACCGCGGAGTGAGCCCGGCATCGAGGCCTGATTTTTCTTCATTCATTGAGTTCACATTGGAGTCATTGGCAGAGATGGATGAGCCTAGCTATTGGCGTTCGGCAGTTGGCCACAGTGCTTCGACTCTCATTAAGCCTTCTGTTAGCGGCAAAGCTAAGGATAACAATCAGTTGTTCGTTGGTGCCTGGGAAGCAATTAAGGACTTTGGTCATTTGGATGGAGTTTGTCGATCCTCAAACGTCACCTTTCAAAGCATCGTCATTCTTGCCGTCGCTCGTATTCTTGCTCGAGACACTGGTCTACCAAGCCCAACACTGGGTCTATACCAAACCGGTCGATCAGCTTCCTTTGACGATGTTGATCGCCTTACGGGGCCTTGCTTGAACGTCACTCCTCTCACTGTTCAAGACGCGTTGCCAAAGGGGGATGCTGAGTCTATTCAAGTTGCTAAAGATGCCCAATCGATCCAGGCTGCACTGGCAGAACGTGTGCCGTATGAACAAAGCTCATTAAGGGAAATCCTAAGCCCTTGGAAGGAGGGCGCTGGAGATACATCATTGCATTTGTTCAATGTGTGGTTGAACCTTCTTTGGATGGAACCAATGTCTCAAGCTACGGAAGTTGATCCCAAGTCTGACCAGTCGAAGCCTTTGTTAGAGCATTTACCTATCGGCGTGCCTACCGACTTTATGCCACCAGAGCCCTTCTCTCATAGCAATAGCTCCGCCACATCGATCTCTAACCTCGACATATCTTACCTGCCCGAAGAAAATATCTACATTGATGTTGCTCCTGATATTCTAACAGACACAATCGGCTTTGGTGTCCGCGTACAAGGAGGGCTAATGGATGAGATGGAAACTCGAGTTTTCGTGGAGCGTATAGGTAGGGAGATTTCAACACTTGTGAAAGAAATGGAATAGTGCGATTCTTGCGAGTTAGGCTAGACACTACTGTTTAAGACTCTTTCAGTGGAAGAGGCATCCTTAATTCTGTCTGGAGGTACTTTATACAGTTGCCAATCGATGCTTGCAAATGTATTGGATTTTATTTGAAAGGGCTCGTAGGCAAATTATCTATATAGGTAACATAGCTGTCCCTACTCTACTCTGAAGAATCAAGTGCTATAACCTCACTAATAACTCGATGAGGGTCGATATCCCCATGGCGTCCACCTTCAACAAGCATTTTACAATTGGGTTCGAGAGCTCAAGTATCAGCCGCTGTTTAGCTTGAGACTGCTGGATGCAGTAGACGAGCGCTTGCAACATATCGCTATCGAGCTTGCGTATACAAGAATAGGCATCGATAAGCGGACCATTAGCGGTAGGCTGCAGGATCTCTTCTTGACGCCTGAACCCTGTCCTCTTCCACCGGATCAGTCTCTCCTCCCGAAACTCCACCAAATCTAGCCTAATGCAGTTCTCTGAGATATCAGTTATTTCATGCAGCGACTTGTCTGACAGGCTATATCCAAATGCTGATCGCAGGTGTGACAGGGCGGGTTTAAAATGGCCCGCTGCCTCAGAATAAGCTGTCGAACTTGGGCATGAACTGTGGCATGTAGACACTAGCGAAACGTCTGGGGTTCCAGTCCGTCTTTTAGGCCCGATTTGTGTTACACCGGTAATTAGGAGGGTTTAGGTAGAACCCAAGTTATCACTACTCCAGTAACTATAATTCGTAAGTAGAGCAAGCTGAAGATATAGATAATAGCTCATGCGTTTGAGACAGCGTAGCTAATGATAAGCCAGTCTCACGCACTGTCATGATTTGTTACTAGAGGGTGAGAGAGGGTGAGGGATGAGATCTGGTCTGACTGGAAGATTCTAGTTCATCACGAGGATTGCCTTGAAGCTGAAAATCTGTGAAAAGCCTGAGTCTTATCATATCTGATATATGAAAGTGCACCACATCAAGCCTCGATAAGTGGAGGCCATCCTGTTCAGAGCAAAGGTTACCATGATCTACCTGCTCTAAGGTACCAGTCCCACTTGGCGGAGCCTCCCGTTTGAATGCGATATTGAACCTAATTGTGGATCGAACCTTTCCACAGCATGGACAGAAATTCCAAGTGACTGAGCTCGCTGGCTAAACCGTTGATGACGTTTTTATCGAACCGTTCCAAAAACGAAAGTAATATAGTAGCAAGCTGAAGTTCGGGTGGGTTGGCAAAGACTTTAAATATACGTGAATCGAAGTGTCGCACTGTCTGCAGACACATGTGAGCCTCACTATAGGGACAGTCTATAATAAAAGTGAGTATTTCCTACTCAACGTTAACGGGATAGGAGAGATAAAGATATAGTAAGAACTTGATTGTCTTGTTACCCTCCAGCACGAAGTTATGGTACAACGTATGAGAAATCCCTGAGGCAGCAGTATAGGCAGGATTCGCAAGATATAAAGGTAATCAGTTCTTGGCAAAAGAGTAATGAGATTTAGGGAAATATGTAGAAGTAATTCGTGAATTATATACGGCGAAGTTGTATTTGTAGTAGTATGTAAACTGGACTTTCCTTTTAAGAGTCCCTACAAGTTCTCTATTTTAATAGCTAAAAAACACCGACATTTATTACACTGTTACTTTAGTTCAACAGGGTCGGCCCGCGCTTATACTTACCGCTGATATTTATCTGTGCTAGCTAGCTAGTAAGAACCTGACTTACTATGCGTCGTTCTGACACAGAGTAACAGCGATCCTTAAATCTTAATGAGATGGCGCTTAACTACATGCGTCCAAAAGAGACTGTGTGATGTAGCTGTAATAACTTTATCTCCGTTGATTTCGTATACCCCAGCGCCCAGACAAGACCATCCCTGAAATTCCTAAGCAGCACCACAGAACAGACAAATATAAGTGGGGCCGACTCCAATATTGATTGGCTGCCGATCAATACGCCACAAACACCAGGCTCAAGGAGGTACAGCATTAAGGATAAAAGTCACAATCTATAAGCTATATAATTAGAGGTACTTGATGCTTAGTATAATTTACTAAGTATCAAAATTACTTACAATATTATAGATTTAGTTAGCCTGACCTGATGTAATAGGTATCTGGTGCTGCTTCGGAAAATAGGGGATGTAGGAGTCATACCAGATTCCTGTCAGCTTACAAATACCCACTGATCGGACCGTAGACAGATGCGAGCCTGATCTGATTATGTCAGTCCCGGACATTCAAATGAGCAGATTTTAGCACATAGCGGGGTGTGTTGTTCTGCCCTTGGGCGTTGAGTGTTTAAAGCGCAGGAAGGAGTTAATGGTGTAGAAAGAGGATGCAGCAACATTAGTGCAATTAACCACTTTCATTATGCCTGAGATCTAAGTTCTGTCGGCTGATTTATGCCTCAGCTCTATGTACCAAAAAGCCATTGGAAGCAGTTCCTCGAGTGGAATCGACCTCTACCACCCACGAAGCAGATCTGCATCCACCACAGGGTTGAGGCTCAAGATAACGCGCAACCTGCCAAGGTGGCGGTGGCTTTAACAATAGCCTCTCTTACATATGACGATCTGAATGGCCTTGCCACTCAGATTGTCTCTGATCTCAATCGGCGTGGCATTTCCCCCGACATGATTGTACTACTATGTTTTGATAAGTCGCCATAGACGATAGTCGCTATGCTTGGCGTTTTGAAGGCTGGTGGAGCATTTGTTGCACTGGATCCAAAGGCACCGACAAGTCGAATCAATGCTATAGTGCACCAAGTGAACGCCAAAATTGTAGCTACCGGGTCAAAACACCGTCATTTATTTTCAAACCATCAGGTCATTGAACTTTTCGACACAAACAATTCTATGCTGCCGCAGACGACCGATAATTATCTAACAACATGGGCATCTCACCCGAACAATGCGGCTTATCTTATCTTCATGTAGGTAGCACTAGAAAGCTAAAGGTGGTGGTGGTTGAGTATCAATCTTTTTGTTCTGGAATAGCGCAGCATGCGAAAGCACAGTTTATTGACCGGCATTCTCGAGTACGGCAATTTACATCGCACACGCTTGACGGGTGTATCGTTGAGATTCTTACGACCCTTGGCGTAGGAAGAGCAATCTACAGTCCCTCAGAATATAAACGCGTGAATATACTGACAGTTTATCAATTTACGATCCGTAAACTGGGCAGTTTTGACCCCATCTTTCATCACGTCTATCTACCATGATGCGATATCAGCACTGGAGACTGTTTTCCTGGCTGTGGAGAGGACTTTACCGTCAAACATCAGCTCATGGGCAGCTTCGGTAAGGTTGTTGGGTTAGGGTTATAATATAATATCTTTATTACTAGAAGGAACAGAAGTGTACTCTTTTATTGCTCTAGTGCCTGAAATATATTCGATTTTGGACGCCAGAGCCTTAGCGCAGGCTTGAGCAACATGACGAGCTCCGTCCCATTCCTCAATCATAAGAAAGGCACTAGCAGTCGCTGGGAAGCTAAGAGCAATTATGCGCGTGATTGTAGCGACTTTCATAGCTGTTGTAGTAAGGTGGCAGAGCTAAAGAAGCGAAATTTCGCCAACGTGGCCATTCTGGGGCCTTGTATTCTGATATTCATCAATGTGACTACGAATCGTGCTTTTTCCTCGGTAGGTTATAAGTGGATTGTAAACGGCACAGTCCAGTCGCTGTTGTAGCTTATTACATATTAAGAAGACGCCTAGACGCTCTATGAATGCCAAGCCAACACAACACGGCCAGCATGACAGAAGACCTGCAGTTTGTTTCCCGTGAGCCAATCACAAAAGGCGAAGCCACTAACCCTTTAAATTCGTCCGACTTTCTGATACTCTGTGATGACCACCTTTTAACAGTCTTTGCGGCAACGGAGCAGTATTAGCCCATGTAGCCACCTTAGCAGTACGGTGCCTGGCCTCCAAATATGCCCACTCTCCAGGACAGTGGTGTTATGTATGCTGCTGAGTTTGTGACTTGTATTGGTTGTAGCAGTCTTGGGGATACCAGCCAAGGCCCGTCTCTGGCTGTCTTTGTATGCAACAAGCGCTCAAGACATCGCAGCTGTCACTCTGAGAATCATCACAGGAAGCCCTCTTACATTGTACATAAAAACTTCCAACAAGCTACTCACGTCAGCAGCCAGGGTCGATGATATATCAGGCAGGATCGGGGCCCAAATTATAACATAGGAAGTCTCTATAAAGACGAACAGGCCGGGACAGGCCTGGTTTATTATCCGTCAGGCCACGGATGGGGCGCTGCTTCTTCGTCTCCATCGTGCTTCGAAGACAACAGAATCGGCCGTGAAGCAACTAAACTATGTCGGCGCGGTACTATACAGTGCTGCTAGACATCCTATATACAACTTACCAATCCTTCCCACCAGGGCTATCCACCTCAGCACGCTTCCAGTCCTTTCCACCAGGGCTTTCCAACTCAGCACGTTTCCAATCCTTTCCACCAGGGCTGTCTACCTCAGCACGCTGTACATTGTTGTATCAGAATGTGCCAAAGGTTATGCAATCCGAAGTTAGAGAACTTACAGCAACTGTGCGCTCGCGAGCCGAAAGATGGCCGTTGGCTGGAGGTGCTGCGACAGCGGCTTGGACTGCAGCAATGCCGGCGAGAATGATAAGACTGGATCTCATGATTGGTTCTTTTGAGAAGATATGCTTTGTATGAGAGATAATAGTTGCTCAAGTCCGGGGCTTATTCGAGGGCGGCGCCCAATTTATGATTTTAGCTATCGTGTCTAAACTGGCGGCAGCCGCAGACATTGACCTGCAGCTCAGGTGCTTAAGTAAGTCATTACTAACGTTAGCCGTGTCGTATTGCGTCAAAAAGTCATATTTTGCTCCGCCCATTGCTTGGATCGGCCGACGTGTTGATACGAGCTATTATGGCGAATTGCGGGGATCGGCCGACTTATGCAGCTGCTTCTTGTGGCAATACCTATGCC